TACGAACCCTTTGTACGAACAAAAGTAAGAGACATTTAGGAGAAGAATACGAACATGTTCTTGCATGAGGCCCAAAAAGTCTTAAAATTGCTGAATTAAAGCTTTTTAAAGTTAGCTGTGGTGGCCATCTTGATTTTTTGATTAATATTTAGAATTAGGTAAAGATTGTTTTCGCCTGCTTCTACATTAATCTTAAACTTTGTCTAAAAATGGTTGGACAATAGGTTGTGGCTAGCTTACAACATGTTTATTTTTCATTCTTTGCTTTGACCACGCATTATCTCAGCTCAATATTTCTTCTTAGCTGTGGTGAACATTTTGAATMTTCAAATCCAGAGTGCTTTTCTTTATTTGTAGGTGCCCCCCTAAATYACTACCACGGCCCCCCCACCTAAAACAGTCTACCTCTGCCCCTGTTCGTACCTGAAAGGCTCCCTCTGAGATGCTGTGCAGCTGGTTGTTGGCCAGGATGAGGTGCCTCAGGTTCACCAGACCCTGGAAGTGGGAGTCGTCCAGGACGGTGAGGCGGTTGGCGTCCAGGTGGAGGGCGTGGAGGTCCTGGAGGTCGGCGAAGGTGAAGGGTCTGATCTGACTGATGGTGTTTCTGCTCAGCGTCAGGTGGATCTGGAAGATTAAAGATGAGATTAACACAGCAGCTCAAGTCAGAACAACTTTATTCAGCTTTAACGAGCGAGCAACAAAGAATGTATCGATCCATCCACCTGAATTCAAACAAACATTTTCAGACAAATCAATAGAAATGTGTAGAAAACTATTATTAAAACCAACAAACTGCTTCTTAGACATCTCATAGAACCAGGAAGAAAAAATCGTTTGAGGATGTAGACAATGTTTGAGGAGTTTTGGTACAAAATGTTGTGAAATCTGCCTGTTTTTCCTGTTAGGAAACAYGTTTCTGCAGCGAGGCGTCTGTATGCAGCTAAATACTTCCACTGTACACAAAAACATATTAACAGCCCAGAAAAGGTCAATGAGCACCCACACGTTTGTTTAAAGAGGCGCCGCCATCAGCAGAGACATCTGTCACCACTAAGTGACTCCCTGTGTGTGAGCAAACATGCTTTCCTCTGCTGGGACGGTGGCGCAGAGGAAACCTGCTCCAGTATCTGTGTTTGGTGATTAAACATCATTTTCTTTTTGAGCTGCGTGCCGGGAAGCTTCCTGGTTCCATTCATGAACACGATGGAAATAATTAGGATAATATCAGAGGTTTTAAAGTGGATACTAAGGAGCAGATGTTCCTTTAGCCATAATGCTGACTGTAATTTTAGTGTTTTTTTTAACAGCATATGTTTCTGATGACTTTAAAAAGCCACTTCAGATTGTTTCACATCATTAGGTTCAACCTGTGACGTCTCATCTCTCCCTTTTCATTTGCTTTTAGTCCTAGCATTAAGCTGGATTTCCTAAAAATACTTTTGGTGACAGATACTTGTAGTTAATATCACCTGATAATTATTATTACCAAACTAAAAAACAAAAAACATGAAAAATAAGTTCAAGCAGTCACATAAAAACAAACTTTGAAGCGTCGCTGAAGTTGTTGTTTTCAGGCAGGAGGCCATTTTGTTCAAAGAAACACTAAATACTTTTGACAACTTGCAAATGAACATTAATTTGTTCAAATTATTAAGTTGTGAAAATGCTGCCATTCATGTCTGTAGGTGTGACCTCTGACTGTAACACTTTCCTCATTAAGTTCATTTTCCCCTCTTTAACTGGTTTTAGACGTTCAGCAGCTCATTAACTGAAACTGAAGCATTAAAAAGTGACATTTAGAGAAACCTAACCTGCAGGGATCTGATGTCAGATAGAGAGCTGTAAGTAACAAAACGCTCAAGTAGCAAAAAGCTAGCTGATAGCAGCAAAATGAAAGTAGAAATAAGACAAAACCAGAGTCAGAGGCCTGAAGCAGATGTAAAATATAAAACWATAATATACTCGGGGGCTGTGTCTAAAACGGGGGTCCTCCGATGGTCGAATTTGTCGGCCGCTTACGTCACAGCGCCGCAACAGAGGCTGTCCAAATCTGAAGACTCCTCCGATGCGGCCGACAAATGTGTCCTTCCTTTGCCCCGAATTGAAGGACTGGTCTGACGGATCCTTCCCGGCCCACCATATCCCATAATGCATTGTTAGTAATGGCAGATGAAGCGAGAAAAAAGAATATGTTTTAAATAAACATATGGCCATATAAAAATTAAATGTCTCATGCACCTACGGRGGGCTACCTTTAAGTTAATTTTATTGTTTTGTGATATCAATAACTCTACTATACTGATATTTTTCTAATTTCAATCTTACGTTGCTTCTGTTTAGCGTCGTCACATTTGCTGGGTGACAGGACGTACGCTGAGGGAAGGATGGGAGGCTAGACCGTCTAAATTCACAGKCACTTTTTTCCGGGCTTCGCGGTCTACCACTCCCACCAGGAAGGCTGGGTCCTTTGGAGGACCTGGCCTGGTGTTTTGGACACAGTCATACTTTTAGGAGAAGGAGGTGGGTACACTGAGAACCATAGCAGGTTGTACCTACAGAAGAATGGGTACGAAGTGACCAAACCAATGTCTCTTCCAAGGCATTTAAAATGGTTGATCATTATTAACTCTCAGACAAATATTCTTGGTGTCTCGACCTATTTGTTGTTATTTTTTAAATTCTTTTCTTCATGCCAGAAATCAGTGTGTCTTCTTCCAMGGCAGCCAGTCTGATTTTAAGATAATTGAAAAAGGAGTACCGCAAGGTTCCTCCCTAGGTCCTTTGCTATTCTCTATTTTTATTAACGACCTTCCACAAGTGTGTTCTAACTGCCAAATTCATTTATATGCAGACGATACTGTAATCTATTGTTCCAGTTCAGATATTGTTTTTAATTCAATATTCATTACAATCTGCTTTTAACCTAGTTCAAAAGAGTTTTTTTATTGTGAATAAGCTTTCTCTGAACAAGAATAATATTGATTTGCACTGGACCAAATTCTATGTCTTTATCAAACAGGTGATGGAACGACTTTACGAAATGTAGAGGATTTTAAAGACTTAGGTCTCTGGCTTGATTCCCCACGTAATGTGGAGTGACAAACTGAGTCTTCAGTGTTTTCAGTAAAATTTAACGTCTCACAGCCTTAAGTCATTCATGACTAATGATGCTGACTGACTCATGAGAGCAAAATGTTTTGATGCAACCCAGAACTACACAACAAGATTATAACTGCTGACGAGCCCACAGGCAGCCATTAAAGGCAGCACAGAGACCAATCAAAGTCAACCACAGGTGGATTAAATCTTTGTCAAAGTGCCTGACAGGACGTTCAGCTCAAACCCAGCCCAAAGGTGTCCGTGGGAACTGACCAGGCTGGACATGTTGGCYAAGTCGCGGTGCCTCAGCGTGGTGATGAAGTTGTCCATCAGCCGGAGCTCGGCCGTCTGCCGGTCGATGTTGGGCGGGACYAAGAGGAGGCCCGTCTTGGCACACAGCACCGTGTAGGACGGCAGCAGGTTCTGGCAGGTGCAGCGCTTCGGACACAGCATGTCGGAGACGCAGGAGGGYAGGCAGGACAGGAGGACGAGGAGAGGACAGAGCAACGAGGAGACGGTGTCCATGGCTGTTCATCTGCTGCGAGACACAAACAGAAACATACGGTCAGGTCAGAAACATCCAGCAGGAAGGTTCTTCCAGTTKGAACCAGTGGTTCTGCTGCTTCCATTCTGCTCAGGATGGAACAACGTGTCAAAGTTCTGCCTTCTTTTAAAGGAGACCTATATGCAAAATTCACTTTTTTCACTTTTTTTACTAACATTTGGGTCTGTACTGCTTCGAAAAACAGTCCAAGCACAAAAAAAACCACTCAGACATATTTTTCCTATAAGTAAATGTATTTTTTGTCTTGAAATGACCTGTTTTCAAACACCGCCGTTTGTGATGCCTGCCTGACCGGGCAGGTAAACAATTTCTTTATTTTTTTCATAGGGCCATTTATTCGAATTATTCTGAAAATAAATAAAGAAACATATGTAGCATTTTAAAAGACGTATAGAGAGAATAAATCCTCAACATTTCCCTCTCCTGCCGTAGAAACGTTACGTCATGTTGCGGGATCATTTCCTCCTCCCTCCTGCTGCACGTCACGCAGAGCGAAGCTTCAACAGCTGTCGTTTTTTCACACCTGTGTGTTCGGAGGAAAAAAAGTTTTTGTGCATTGTTCCCCACASAGATGATAAAAAGATGTGGACGTTCGTTCAGTCATAAATCTATCTTCTGCTCTGAGTGCAGCAGAGCAGCAGCTGATAAGTTCAGAAGCTCATGGTATGGCAGGCAGATATTACATTTATTTGGCTTCACCACGCTTACATTCCAGTTATTTGAAATTGTTTTATTACTAGATTAGACATATTTTTTATTTAGGATAAAATAGTAAAATTACCCTCATCTATGGTCATGAGCTTTGGGTCATGACCGAAAGAACGAGGTCCCGGGTACAAG